ACTTGGTGGTTGGACCGGGTGCGAGACTGGAAGTCTCAGGGAATCGGCTAAAGGTATTTATTAATCGGTCGAGTAAAGGATGATATGAAGTCTTGGTACATTATGTAAATGCCGATTTGAGGATCTTTGGATAGGATCGAAGTGACAATTTGGATTTGGATAGGAACCCGAATCGGAGTTCGTGCAGGATTTTGCTCCAGTAAGCTGGGTTGCGGGGAATCTATATGCCAAGGGTAGCGACGAAAGAATTCCATGGTGATGAATGGATTAGTTTGATGGTAGTTTAAGCCATTGTGATGTGTCTCGGGTGGCCTATCCGTAATAGAGCCACGACATGTCGGAATCAGGAAACAGTGGGTCGATGAAGGCAGGGTATGATGTAAGTCTACAACTATTATGGTAGTATTCACCTTTTGGTGTTGGGTTCAGTGGCGATAGGTTTTCAGCCCATCTCTATTGGATGGATCAATGGGTTGAAGGAGGTAGGGCAATTATATATATATATATATATATATATATATATATATATATATGGGTAAAGTGAATATACCTAACAACCTTATATAAGCTTATGTACCTAACCTCATCAAACTACATTATTTTGCATTAAATTTTCATTGGAATCATCCAAGGTTCTTAAAATTCATCCCTAAACTTGATTTACTTCAAAAAAAAATTGGAAATTCATCATTATATTTCTCCTACATCCTTTCATTTGTAGCGCTAGGATATGAAGGCCATCAGGTGGTATTCGATAGAAAGACGTGATGTAAACGAAAGATATTGGTGAAAGTCCAAAGATTTTGGAAGTAATCATGTTATGGGGTTGAAATTTAAGAACCATAGGCAATTACATTGTAAATATGATACAAACCGATGTAGTATTATGAAGTTAGGTACCTAAGCTTATATAAGGTTGTTAGGTATATTCACTTTACCCTCTATATATATATATATATATATATATATATATATATATATATATATATATATATATATATATATATATATATATATATATATATATATATATATATATATTAATCTTATAATAAATAAAGTATAAGGTTGAATTTTAAACTTGTAAAATTCTAAGGGTTTGAAATTTAAATAATTCAAAATTAAACTTTTAATCAAAAATTTAAATTCCAAACTTGAGGGCAACTTTTTGAACTTTTCAAAACATCTATATATATATATATATATATATATATATATATATATATATATATATATATATATATATATATATATATATATATATATTAATCTTATAATAAATAAAGTATAAGGTTGAATTTTAAACTTGTAAAATTCTAAGGGTTTGAAATTTAAATAATTCAAAATTAAACTTTTAATCAAAAATTTAAATTCCAAAACTTGAGGGCAACTTTTTGAACTTTTCAAAACATAAAGGATCAAATAACAAATAATATAAATTAAACAATTAATTTTGTGATTATTCGTATTTGACCTAATGCAATTTCATGCAAGATAATAGATCAATTAGTTCAAATAATCAAACTTTATCATATAAGGAATTTATTATTTAACTAATTGGTAATTATATTTTGTTTTGGTAAGGATAATCTCATAAAAATAAAAAAAATCGGATTTTATCATACAAAAACGATTTTGGCAATTATCCTTCAAAAAAACAACATAAAATCCCGAGTTTTCCTCTGTCTGACGACCTGACTTGCCGAGTCACTGATTGGACTCGCCGAGTCCAACTAGTGACTCGTCGAGTCGAGTCGGGCAGAGGTAGAAAAAACGATTTTTCAGTTAACATACGAACATTGTATCACATAGAACAGAGGACAATCAAGGCTCTGATACCACTGATGGGTTTGACACACAAGAACTTTCCTATCTGCTCATGCATACCCTAATGCTTGGATCTAGGTTTCTCTATTGTACATGCATTGTATCCAAGACTTACAAACCCTGTTCTAGCATACATATTTCAAAAATATCAAGATATAATAGATCTAGATGTTTACCTCTTCATAAATCTAAGATCTTCTTCTTCTTAGAGCTTAGAGTCCCAATTGTAACTCCTCTAATGGCTTACAAACACCACACAAGCAAGAAGGCAATATGAGAGAGGGGGGATAGATGCTAAAATCAGCCCTAGGGTTTCCTTGGAATCAAGAGGCCAAAAATTGCATGTAGGGGTCTCTATTTATACCGTAGGCTGCTAGGGTTTCAGTCAAAACCCTAATGGACAGCTTAATCACCAAGCAACCCATGGAACCTTATGGAATAAGGTCTATGGACGAAATTATGATGGACCTTCATCATAATTTCGTTCTCCCTTCAATCCATTAGGTTTCCCAAGCCCAAAAACCAACTATAACACATTTAACAGTTTAAGCCCCTATATTTAATTAATCTCTTTTAGCCACCAAATTAATTCCTAATTAATTAATATTAATAAAATAATATGATTTCCCTTTTAATATATTAATCATATAATATATTAATAAATCATAATATCCTCTCTCTCTCTCTCTCTCTCCATAAATTACCTTGTCAAGTTGCTTTGGTGAAGGCAACCCAAAACGACCATGCACAACCAGGTCAAGTTCATACCAAATATGGTTTCGGGCTTAGACACTAATCCAACAGTATCCCAATTGGATAAGTCTTATAACTATATCTCACATATGACTTCAGGATCTGGTTAGAAATCGTAGCTCTTATACGCTGCCGTTAACTCTGATTAAAATCATGTCTTTTAGATAAGGGATCATATAATCATCTATTTTAGATATCATGCTGACAATCACATGGAACATAGTCATACATATTGTTCTGCATATTGTTCCTTGATCTCTGATTTGTTTGACATAGAACTTAGTTGAACACATCAACTTCATCCTAACCGGGCCCGCATAAGTCAAACCAAATCATCAAGTGGCCAGATATCGCTTTCATCCTCTTGGAATAAAAGGAACAGATAAACTTCGACTCATATGCTCTTATCTATCCTTAGTGATCTATCCTTAGTGATATAAACGAGAGTCGAAGATGTCTTCGATAGTAGTCCAACAATGAAAAGACAGACGAAAACGGAGATCAGATGAAGGAGTTATGAATTTCGAACGGAGTTTTCCTGTCCCGACCTACTAAAGATAATATATAAGTAATATACTTATAATATATTAAAAATAAAGTCAAAATTAGCCAATGGAGTCTAAACGAGAGTTGTAGATCATAATCTCACCTTCGTGTCGATATAAAGAACGTCGAAAACGGAGTTCGTATGCGAAAGTTATGAATTTCTGAAGTTCAGGGTGCGAACCCCAAAGCTATGTCATAGAACATGACGTGGCAAGCAGTGCCACGATGTGGCAAGTCTTCTGATACCTCCGGGAGTCCCCCAGATGCAACTTGTGATGACGCATGCAATGATGTTCAAGCCCACCATGTGGGAGAAGTGCCCAAGACGTGGAAAATGAGAAAACAGCCCTATAAATAGATTTGAAGGGGCAGCCATTTGTGGTTGACAAATCTCTCTTCTCTCTCCCATATTACATCGTTTTACGTGCAATTTTAACCCCCTGAAGCCCCGGTATCAACCTCGAGACCCGAAGCAAGTCTCGAAGCCCGAAGATCCCGAGAAGAAAAGAGTTTCCGAGTCGAAGCTCTGCCCGCGAGAAACCTGATGTGTGAAGTGATCTCGGTTTCACCGAAGAATATCTACTTGAAGAGCCGTAGTGCTGTCCGATCATCTTCTAATCAAGTGAGTGTGTAGTTACCTTCTTCTAACACATAAATATTAAGTATTTGCTATGAAATACGTGCTAAGTGTATAATATAAAGTTGTTTATATGTGTGAGTGTATAGTCCCTTTCATAAACACGATATTAATACAAGTATTGCTTGAATGTATTAAGTATATGTTTTGGGTGAGCGTGTAGTCACTCTCTTCTAACACATAAATATTAAGTATTTGCTATGAAATACGTGCTATGTGTTTATACATTGTTTGCTTATTTGAGATGAGTGTGGAATGGATGTTTTATATAGTTTTTAAATGAGTTAAACTATATATGTATTTTATATTTACAAATATGTTGGGTAGAACATGGGTAGATGAAATAGTTGGTATGTGATAAAATGATGAGGTATGAAAGATGATTAAGAATGATATTAGCAGATGCGCTTAAGAATAATATCGGTAGATGCACCAAGTAGTGAATGTTGTAATCTTGGCAGATGCGCTTATAGGATAATGTCGGCAGATGCGCCAAATAGAGATGTCATAATACTAGCAGATCCGCTTAAGAATAGTATTGGTAGATGCACCAAATAGAGGATGTCATAATACTAGTAGATGCGCTTATAGGATAATCCTGGCAGATGCGCTTATAGGATAAGGTCGGCAGATGCGCCTAATAGTGAATGTCGTAATCCTGGCAGAGGCGCTTAAATGATAAAGTTGGTAGATGCACCTTAAATAACAGTAGAATTTGTGTCTATTCCTTAAAGTCAAATTTTAGGAATGAATGAATAAAGGATAGGTGATTCTTAGGGTAAAACCTTAAGAAATAAAGAAGATAACAGGGATGGGTAATTGGGTTGATTGTTTGATGATTAAATATAATAATTATATTATTGTGGGTTGAAAACCCTATATGCTCACCAGGCTCCCAATCCTGACACACTCAATTTTCTTTGTATCACAGGTATCGATACGAAGATATATTTCACGGAGAGATTAAAGGAGATGTAAAATCTTTAGTGTAAATAATGTAAGTTCTGTTTTTGCTTATGTGTCTGTATCGGAACATGACATCCCGAGAGTTTGTTATATAATGAAAATACATTTCATTAAAGAAATGCTTTCATAATTTTTATCATATTTTGTTTTGGGAACAAATTCCACAATTGTTTTCTTTAAAAGATTATTCTGATTTTAAAAGCAAAGCATAAACAAATCGGTCTTTTCTGGCTGAGAAATTTGGGGATGTCACACATGGTGGACCGACCTGATGCGTCAGCTTCCCTATGTCTCGAGTTCTGCTAAGGCCTCATCTCTCATCCACCCTGTGATGAAAGTGGTCCACAGGATCGTTGCTTCACTTGTCGTCCCTAGAAAAGAAAGAAGCACCATTAGCGCCCTTGAGCTCAAAATACTCTATGCGATGGCCCACCCAGACGATAATCTCATTCCTCACTATGGCTCATTCCTTTGTAACAAATTCACCTTCCTCAGCACATCACGGTCCGGAAAAATAACTTGTGGTGGCATTGTCAGTTTATTGGCAAAAAGTGCTCCAGTTCGGGTCCCATACCCCGAAACTCACCAACCCCTACCCGATGAGACCTACCTGACCACAGGAGTTCTAGAATCTATGAGAATGTTCCGGGAGGAGGACGGGAACCATAATTGGACTGTGGGTCAAAACCACGATCCAAGGCTACTCATCACCCCAAAGAACAAAGACATCCTTTCCCTCAGGTGTCCTAATAATTTCACCGACTGATAAATCACACCATATCTCTTCCCCGATTCCATCTCCAAAGAGGAATAAAGGGAAGATGGTGATGGTGATGATGAAGATGAGGAGGAGGCCCACCATGCTTCTCCCACCGGTGGTGCCAGCTCATCCCATTGTGTTGCACCCCCGTCTTATCATTTCTAGTATATGGATGAATTCCAGTTAATCCATACTCGCCTCGACACCTACCATCAAGATATCGCAAGCCTCACTCGGAGTTTCTCTTCCTGCACTACCCAGTACACTAGAGATCAAGAGCGTCAACGTAAGCATGAGGAGGACTTTTGGGCTTGGACCCAAAACTCTTACTACTATCCTTATCATCCTCCTCCGCAATAGGTTGTTCTGCCCTCTTCAAGCATCGCGTACGATGCTTATCTTTAAGCTTGGGGAGGGGTAGAGTCACATTAGGTTTTCATGCATCATTATATATTAAAAAAAACTAAAAAACAAAAAAACAATTATTTTTAACAATTTTTTATTTTTATTTTTATTCTTATTTCAAGTTTTTGCACTTCATCAATTGCATGCATTTTCAAAAAAAAATGTACGAGATGATGACACTCTTTACATACAAGTGCTCCATGAAGTGGGAAAACGAAAAAATCAAAATGAAATAATAATAATAATAATAATAATAATAATAATAATAATAATAATAATAATAATAATAATAATACCGGAGCAACCGGATTGTTACCGGAAGTGTAGAATCAGCTGTCATAACTAGGGGACCCAAACACTGTAGATCGAGACCCTAGCCTTAGAGAATAAAAAGAATTTATATTGAAACATTTTTTGGGCGGTAATAACAGCTTTAGGATGATTTGCTTCTGAATGTTTAAAAAGAATCTTTATCGACAACTCTGGACCCACAGAACACAGACCTATTTGTTGACACGTGTAACCCTTGCGGTGACAGAGAGCTTACGTGTCAGATCCACACAGTCAAGAAAGAAGGAAGGGTACAACTGTCATATCTAGTATCAAAATCAGAACTTCAAATGCCAAAAAGAAGAAATCTTAAGAAATTCCAAAAATGAAGATTGAAGAATCCAAATTCAAAATGAAGTACAAATGAAAGTTCAATCAAATCAAAAGCCAATTCAAGTCAAATCTGGCGAATGAAGAACTGTGTAATATGATACTTATGGATCTCGAAAAAGTGAAAGCATAGGAGCTGGGCCCCTTCGGGTGGGCTCATTGTTTCAGCGAAAGTTGATTTGCTGTGACGGGATCTTAAGGATGCGTCAGTTCTAATTCTTGGCCATATAGTCTTAAGGACGTGAGATCCGGAATATGTTATTTTCGCCCATAAAGCCTAGTAAGGTATAAAGTTTTAATAAAACTAGGGTTGGATTATTGGGTTACACCGTTTCAGGTCTTCCTGACTTTGGGAGTCTATGATATATGGAAGGAAGCAGGATGGTTGCCTAGGTATTAATGATTGGAGCAATATTGATGTAAAGTCTGATCGTACTTGGATAAATTATTTACTTGTGCCTTCAATTTCTTTTTGATACATTTTGTTTCTTTAGTGCTTCTATACATATTTTTTTTCTTTTCCTTTTTCATTTTTTGCATTGCATGCATTCATTCCTAGCCTTTAGGATCCTTATGTCCCTTTTTGCTCTATGTTTCTTTTTGCCGTCTAGAAATCGTCATGTTTTGTTTGATTCTTGTTCTTTCTTGGGGACAAGAAAGGTCTAAGCTTGGGGAGATTTGTTAGGTGCAATTTGTGCACCTTTTTGCACACATTTTAGTCCCATTTCATGCATCTATTTAGCATAATTGTTCTTTCCTTTTTATTGCATTTCATCATATTCATGTTAGTATCTAGAACAACCTTATTTGCACACTTTCATGTCTTTTTTAGGTAAACCGGATCTTGGAATGCGCTTTGGTAGATGCCGGGAAGCATTGGTAAAGATTTCGGAATGATCGGGCGAAGAATGAAAAAGTTGAAAAAATCAAGTTGGGAGTCGGAGTCAGAAGGGTACACGGGCCGTGTTGGATTTACACTACAAAATCAACATGGGCCCTATTGACCAAAAATGAAAGTTTCTAACCAAGATGAACACGGGCCGTGCCCTTTTTGCCCTATGCTGAACATGGGTCGTGTTCGACCCAAGAAAACTAACTTTTGGCAGTTTTTCTATTTTTCATATTACGAAAAATTGGGTCATTTTTTGGGATACAAAACATATCAGAGCACCATTTGAGAGGAGAATTCGAAGGTTTTTGCAAGGGTTTGTTTGTTAATCATTTGGAAACATTAATTCTCGTTTTTGTAAGTTGTAATTACACTTAATTTCATCTTTTAGACTTGTGATCTTGTTCTAGCCATGTGTGGCTAGAAACCTAACTTCTCCAATTTCATGTTTTGACTTTTTGGTTGTGAATCAAATCATATGACGTGATGTTTGTATTTAATTTCTATCTAGTGAAACTGATTTTACTGCAATCGAATGTTTGATTCTAATAATGATTCTTATTAGCCATTTGAATTAGGGTTAGGTCATTCAAGTTATTCATTTTGCAAAATCCATAATTGTTTTGTGAATTGAACTAAGTAACAAGCATTAAATTGATTTCTTATGAATGAATTTAGTGTAAATCTTTTCACACATTCTTACGCTCCCGAGCTTGTGAGGAGTATTGGGTGTTTTTGGGAACATTCACAATAAGCTTAATGCAATCTTTTAATCTACTTCTAAGAGCTTGTTTAGATTAGGTTAGTAAAGTTAGGATTAATCAAAGAGCTTGTTTTGATTGATTAATGTGGTGAATGGAAAGTGTTAGAACTTGTTAACACTTTCAAGTACCAACTTAGATAGAATGAAACAAATGTCTTGTCATCTTTGATTCACATTTCTAGATTGACATACATGGAGTTGGGGTCCTTACAAAATCTAAACTTAATTCATTCGTTTAGTTTTCTACTCATGTTTTAAATTTGTTTGTTTCGTCATTGCATTCTAAACCCCCTTATTACTGTTGGTGACCATAGTACCTTGCGCAAAGAGGTATAGACGAATTATCTCGTGTCTCTGTGGATCGACCCTGTTTGCCTTGTACTACCTTTTAGTGCAACACAGTGGGATTCTTTTGGAGTATATCGTACCCTATTATTTCTTGGGTTTGACACGTCTAACAATTATCTCATAAACATCATTCAATTTTAATTCCATTCTTACTTGTTTTATTGATCCTTTAAAAAAAATTCAACCCTAACTTATTATTAATAATACTAGAATCCATATTTTTCTTTGCGATGTGTAGAGGGATTTCATCAACACACCACAAGGTTATTTAGGTAGGAAATGCACTTTGCCAATGTCAATCACTATGAGATTTCTAGATATTTTGAGATTCATTAAAACTATTCAATGGAATCTTAATCTTGGATTTGCACATCTTCTATTTGTGTCAGGGATACTGTGGTCTTACAAATAAGATGGTGAATCAACCATTCAATAATGTGTGACACTCGATTATTTCATGGTTCCCTAATTGACGTTAGTTAACCACACACACTCCAATAACAAACCACAACCACAAGTGCTACATCGTTTTTTAACTTTTGTCACAAATTTATTTGGCCGTTAACCACACACGCTCCATAAATTAACAATCTTCACCGATTGGCAACTGTTCACATTTTCCTAAAACAACTAAGTGTTGGATTAAGGTTTCTAAGATCATAAATAAAATGGTATATACTTGTAACTATCAGCGGATTCCTTTTTGGGTTTCCCTCATAACTAGAACTTGGTTAGAATGACGTTTATAGAGAGATGATGATTTACTGATTTAATATATAATTAATAAATTAAAATAGATGATTTGTTAATATATTATGTGATTAATATATTAACTAGAAATAGTAATAATTAATTGAGAATTAATCAAAAATTAATTAAATTTAATTTTGGGATTAATTAGAGTTAATTGAGAGTGCAATGGCTAAGCTATAATTGTTCAATAGTTGAACAAAGGTGAGGTTCCATAACCTTTTTATAGAGGTGGTGTTGGAGACCCTTGTTACGGTTTCTAGAAGCCTCCATGATAATAAGGAACCTAGATAGCCACCAAATTTTAAATAATGATATTATATGTTCAAATTAGGTTTTTTAGGGTTTCCTAAGGTGGTATAAATAGGGCCCTACCGCCCTAGGGTCTCCTATTTCCAGCCATTTATCAGAATAATAGTCGATTTCATAACTCTCCCTCCTCCATCCTCAATTGTCTTCTAGTTGTAGGGTTTAGGTTCAAAACATTAGAGGCATCATAGTTTTGGTGCTAGCTTTCCAATCTCTACAAAGGAAGGACTCAAGTGATTTGCTTGCTACAACAAATCTAAGGTATGTAACCTAATCCATGATTTCGATTATCATAGGGTTTATGTTAGTTTCTTATTCATAGTATGTTGTCTTCAAAGTGTTATGACATAGACCCTTATAGGTTGCATGTGCCCTCTTCATTGTTAAATATTTTTCCGCATTGTACATGTAGTTATAGCCTATAAAATCCATCATTAAGAACGTCATTTTATTTTTAGTACTTTCATTTTGTTTTACTTTTAACGAGACATCTTACTATCGAATCCTTTTGACCAACGATAGTCCACCATGTAAAGAAGCGGTGAGTGAAAATGGCACTCATTCAATGGTCATTTTATCGACTATTTTTTATACCTCTCCTATATCATGACTTAATAAATGAGGCTTACTCTTGATTTGACTAACAATCATTTTATTGAACATGTGAGGACACATGTCATTTACTTATACTATATATATATATATATATATATATATATATATATATATATATATATATATATATATATATATATATATAAAGGTATATTTTAAACAATTTAATATATTTATGATTTAATCACATTATCTTTAGTTAACTATTAGTTAATTAATTTTAAATCGATAACTACTGATTCAAATAAATCAGACATATTTATCCTC